AGAGAGAGAGAGAGAGAGAGAGAGAGAGAGAGAGAGAGAGAGAGAGAATGAAGGAGAAGGATGAGCTGAATGTTGTTAAAGAACATATGAACAGCAATTTCAAAAAATTCTTTTTTTCTCTCTTCAGATAAATAGCATGAAAATTGAGATATTATTATGAGTGGTGAAGCTTCAAACAGTTTACCAGCACATGTGTGTGTGAGTGTGAGTGAGTAAGTGTGTGTATGAGTAAGAGTAAACGAGTGGAGATATTATGAGAGTTTTGCTTGAAAACTATCAATTGCAATCTTCGAATATTACAAAATCAAAAAGAAAAAGAGAAAAAAAGAAAAAAAAAAGAACAACAACGTCTGTCACGAAAAAAGAAAAAAAATATCTTATTTTGTGTGTGTGTGCTATTCATATTGTCAGATGAGCATATGAAAGGACAACTGTTAACTAGGAAACATATATCAAATCAAGATATTTGAGAAATATTTGTAAAATTTTACAATAGATTCGCTGTTTTAATCGAAGGTTTAAAGTTTTTTCTATTTCTCTCTTTTACGAGAGCGTCAAGTGGAAATAGAGAATGATTCTCGCACACAGCACAAAGCATATAATTGCTTCAACAGCAAATGACTAAAGAGATTTATTATTATAATCAACTCTCTGTCAGTCTTCAAGCTGTAACACATCAAAAGCTAATTATTATGATTTGGAAAAAGATCTTCAATTATAGATCACAATGCCTATTATAGAAAGCATATAGATTGCTTAGATTTCCAAATAACCAGATAGATATTTCTATCATCTCAAAAATAGACATATTTTTCGAACATTCTGTATTCCGACAGAAAGCAAAGAAAAAGAAAAAAAAAGAAAAAGGAACAGAAAACGAGAAAGATGAGTGGCACGGAAAGCTGTAACGTATTGATCATTGAATAATACTAAAAGCTGAAAGTATTATAGAGTCATTTTTTGGTCGGCAGCTTACATGATGATAGATGAACGTCTCAAACATTGCAGATTAAAATTCTAAAATTTCGATTTCTAGCAGTCCGACAGCAGCGATTAGAGGATGAGTTCAGGCACTCCAAGCAGTTAAATGACTAATTCCATTTTATGAAACTGGTCTTTCTATTTAAACTTTTTTTCGTTAGTTCCGGAAAATAAAATAAAAACGAAAATAAAAAAAGTTTCAGTGCGATAAACGGCTGGAGCGAAAGAGAGTGGTGGAGAGGGGGGGGGGGGGAGAATCGAAGTTGGAAGGGTAAAGGGAGAAATGAGGAAAGGCGCAGTTCAAAACATTCACAAATGAATTAATGCTTCTCCTTTTCAATACTTTTGATTTCGCCAACTCTCAATTCGATCTGATAAATCTTGGGGGAGGTTTATCGCAAAAGCAACTTAATTCTATTTGGTGGCTGAAAAGAAGATAAGTAAAACGAACAAAATGCTTGACATCGTACAAGACTCTAAAGAGCTTCAGCGATCCAAAATATTTCTGAAGCTTGACAGACAACTTAAGATATTCTAAAGTTATGAGAAGAATAAGATGAAGAAAAGAGAGAGAGAGATAGAGATAAAGAGAGAAAGAGAGAGAAAGAGAGAGAGAGAGAGAGAGAGAGAGAGAGTAACTAATCCACCAAGGAAAACTAGTTGTAGTTATTTATGTAGATTTTGAAACTTTAAATAACTCAACTGGATATTTATAGATCAATAGAGCATGATATACCGAATTGAGAAATGAGCGTAAAAGTGGGTGGATTGGGGCGAGATATGGGCCCAACGCGAGAAGATAGATGCCAGCTCAATGAACTATTTGAGTAATTAGAAAAGCAGAGCAATTAGCTCTCTAGTCGTCTGAATAATGAAGTTTCCAAAGTGTCACTTGTATGTCTAGAATGACAAGTTAACAACATGAAGACTCGAGAAAGTTAAGTCGTTACGTAGTGGTATTACGAAATGTGTTGCAGTTAGAGAAAGCTTCTCTAACTCAGAGCCGACAAATCTATGTTTTGTCTTTCCTATTTTAAGAAAATAAAATATTGTAGAAAAGAACAAAAGGAGAGAAGAGGAGAGGGGGGGATATCGCCAATAATGTCCAAGCGTTAAGGCTTATAGCATAACACTAAACCACATTTCTCAATGATATTACTCAAACAATTACACTTTAACAACTGGAAAAAAGGCATTTAAGGAGAGAAAAGAGATAGATGAGGTGAAAAGAGAAGCTA